GATTTCCAAATGCTCCTCCAGACAAAATTTAGGTTGTAACCAAGAGAAGATTCAAGAAATGAATTATTAGGATAATACCTAGCTTTGAAAATTTTGGAGGCAGGGGTAGTAGGTTCTGTGAGTAATTTTTACCCTTGTTTAGCCACCATCGCCATGTTAAAAGTCTTAAAGTCCCAAAAACCCAACCCTCATTCCTTCTTGGTACACGCTAACCTCTCCCACGCCATCCACCTAATCTCAGCATTATTATTACTGCCTCCCCACCAAAAGGCATTTAACATCCTTACAGTTATAGTAAACTCAATGAACTTGAACACGTAAATTACACCGCTAGACACTAAACTTACAATTATAGTAAACTAAATCAAAATCCTTAAAATTACTTGAACATGATAATAATCACTAGTATCATAATCGACAACAAAAATCCCTAGAATTTAATCTTTATTTTCGGATTTGATACTTTTTTTTAATTATTAATTTTTTTCAACAAAGACCATATAATTTCTTTTGTTTGATCTTTCACTTACTCATCAAATCTTGTAGTGAAGACCGCACAAGTAGAAAAGAGAAATTTTGTTAGATTTAAATCATAATTTATTATTAGGTATTTATAATCGATTACTAAATGAGACATATCTCATAATCAATTATAGATTAAATTTTATTTCATAATCGATTATAGACACTTCCTAATTGATTATGTTTAGTTTAAAAAAGATTTTTTCTAATTCTAAAATATTTGTTTGAAGAAAGTGAAAAGACATAAAGTTTAAAAAAATATTATGTGTGTATAATTTTATTAGTCATTCATGCTCATCCACCGCTTCTCTATCATTTTAAAAGAAAATGTGAAACAAACACAATAAAATAAATGCAAACTATTGAAACAAATAAAAAATGAGAAACAAACACATGCAAAATGTTTTTGTCATGGTATGGAATGATGATTTCGGAGTACACTCTACATGAATGTTGTTTTCAATTTTGAAAAAAAATTTCCATCAAAGAAATTATCAGGTTGAGTCGCGGACTAGGTCGCTCTCTTTAAATCATTTCGCGACACTACCCAAAATTATGCAAAGCAGTGAAACTATCGCGCCACCTCCAAGATAAAACAACCCAGTTTTATACTGTACAATTTCTAGAGATTATATCTCATCATTAATAGCTACTTGTCATAAATCTGCATCCAGAGATGACAAGGCTTCTTGAAGATTTATTGGATTTTCATCTACGTTATGAGCTGCATAATCGGACTCATAGTCTTTAGCAACTCTTACCCTTTTACTTTGTCGAAGTTCAGTTTCTACTTTGTTGTTGCTTTCAGTGTTTCTTATCACAGGAATGTGATTCGATTCAGTGCCTCTACTATTTCTCGATTTAAAAGGAAATTTATCTTCATGGAATTCAACATCATTTGATTCTATGATCACTTTAGCATTTAGGTCTTAAAACCTATATGCCTTATTGTTTGTTGCATACCCATTGAATACACAATCATAGGCTCCACTAGCGAGTTTAACTCGCTTCGTATCCGGAATTCTGACATAAGCCAAATAGCTCCAAGTTCTTAAATAAGACAAGTTTGGTTGTATTTTTCTTTAATGTCTCGTAAGGTGAGATCTTATTTTTTTACTTGGAAACTCAATTCAGGACATAACAAACAGTTAGCAAAATTCCCCCACTAGTAAGGTGTAACACTAGAATTCAACATAATTGCAACAACAAATTCAGTAAGAGTTCTATTCTTTCTTTATGCTTTACCATTCATTTCAAGATAGTATGGTGAAGTCATTTCATGTACAATTTCATGTATAATATTCATTAATAAACTAGAATCATACAATTTCTCTATCACTACAAATTCGTATTATATCATTTTCAAAGTCTTTACAAAAATTTTAAACATATCAATTTCGTTCTTCGTAATGGTGTACAAATCTACCCTAATAGACTGACTAAACTATGTCTTATTTAAAAGAAAACCATAAACAATATTTTTTCTAATCTTAGAAATATGCATAACGTTCTTTAAGATTAAAGTCTTTTTTAAGGTGAAATTTAGCTACATGTCTACAATTTCAACAACATTAGTGGTGTGACCATCTCTCAACAACACTTTCTTATCTTTAATATCCGTGTATGTTTTAAATATAACAGGATCATAACAGACACGACGAGAGACGCCGTTGTCTATCCACCAACCATCATATCCATCAACCATGTTAATTTCAATGACCATAGCAATAAATTTCTCATTAGTCAGGTTGACCTGTGCATTAGGGGCATCACCAAGTACAAACTTACTTATATATTTCTTAGTCATATGACTTGATTTTCCATAGCTAAAACAAAGGGAAATCAACTTCATTTCTTTGAGGTGGGGGTTGTTGCCTAGTTGGAGCAATTGGGATCATAGAAGGGTTCTCATTCTTAATTCACTTCACAATATTGCGGTTCTCATTCTTAATCAATTGTCAAATGACTTCAGAACTACACCAGATTTATTTTTGTTGTTTGACACAACCAAGACTTTTTCTTTTTGATATTGTCTCTAAGATTCCTTTTTTTAACTCAAGACGAATAATCAGGTTCACAATAAAAAATTCTTTTGTTTTATGGCAAAGCAAAGTTTTTTAAAACATTCAAACTATGGGGTAGTTTGTCAATAATAAAAGCAATTTGAAATTGTTCATTTAAACACATACCTTTTGTAATGATCTTTTAAGCAATCTTTTGAAATTTATAAGATTGAGCCTCCATCGACCTTTCATCTTTGTCATTTGATACTTGAAATAGAGGCTAACAACATACTTCTTTGCTCCAGCTTCTACGTCATACTTCTTTTTCCGAGTCTTTCAATCTTGTTTTGCAGTATCACATAAACTATAATTATCATACAGATCATTTGCGAGTCTATTCAAAATATGATTTTGTAGAGATTTTCATTCTCTTTCTATAAGGTGATTTCTTTCATATGTTGTAAATCGTTCGCTTTAATCTGTGCAGCAAATTCAACTTTAACATTATTTAGTGTTCCTTCTAAATCTCTGAATTTATTACCGTTAGTTTGTTCGATTGATCCAGAAGGAGAAATAGAATATCATTGATCAGAACGTTAGCAACTTTTTTCAACGTTAAGAACTTCATCTTTTGTTGCCAACGTTTGAAGTGACTCCCCTCAAACATGAACGATTTCTCAAAGACAATATCCACAAAAGTACTAGTAATTTCTTCAGTAGCCATGGCAGTTTGAAACGTCATAAAATTGTTGATTTAGATTTTGAAAAAAAATTTCCATCAAAGAAATTATTATGTTGAGTCGCGGACTAGGTTGCTCTCTTTAAGACATTTCGTGGCACTACCCAAAATTATACAAAACTCTCAAACTACCGCGCCACCTCTAGGATAAAGCAGCTCAGTTCTATATTGTACGATTTCTACTTACACGATCTAGAAATACACCCTCTGATGGTACTAAAACCATTCGAATATGGTATAAATACCATAGTAGTATCTGATATAACCGTCAGTCGTAATAATTTCTCAAACCAAGAGAAATTTCAATAATACTTCAAAGAGAATTCAATGATAGTCATTTGACCACTCAAAAAGATTTCTCAAACAAAGAGAAATTCGAATAATTCTTTAAAGAGAATCCAAAAATTATACTTTACAATTTCTTAACTCAAATGATGAGAAATTAACATTATTCTCTAAGGAGAACTCAAGAAAGTACTCGAGAAATTCAACGAGTAGAAGCAAATGGAGAGAAGTTAGCGCTTCGATAATTCGAAAGACGCAGAGTTATGAGAATGAGGAATGAGTTTTTGGTGTAATTTTGAAATGAAACAAGAGATTTCCTTATATAATGAAGTAAACTAGCTAAGATTTTCAAACTAAACAATGTAGGACTAAGGAGTTTTTTCAACCAAAAAAATATTCTAACAATATGAGATTTGAAAAAATTTTAAATTTAACATATTAGAACATGGACATGTTCCAACAATGACTTTGGTACCAGATGTGTGATGACAACCATGGCTCAAAATCTAAGGTTTTCATGAATTTATGAAACTATTAAGTAACAAATACATTGTGAATTTAAACCTATCTAATAGAATATTTGATGATTTGCAAGAAGTTGTAGGTCTTAGCACTTGAAGTTGCAGGTCTTAGCACTTGATTTAAATATGAGTTTGAAACTCTTGGAAATTTTAGAAACTTTTTTATTATGAAACGGGGGAATGGAGGAGATGAAAGATTGGCTCGTGAGTTTGAAGTTTAAGGTGTTAGGATGAATCATTTCAGTGCTAAAATGGAGTTTCAGGAGATCTTATGAAATCAATGGGGTAGATTGAGAATTTCTCAAATTTTGATGAAAATAGAAATAGATTTATGAAGAGATTTGAAGCAGGTCCTTGAAAAAAGAAGAGAGAAATTTGAGCACACTCGCTATCCAAGTCACATAAAGTCGCTATCCAACTCTAAAACCAAATACTTAGATTCAAAATAAGAGAAACATGAAACGGAATTGCACATATGATGCTTCTTTCATTTGTCTACTTTAAAGAGAAGATAATCGAAGTCAGCTGGCATCAATGTGAGATTTTCCAAACTGGTGGTTCTTGCGGACAATTACGCGCATAGTCATTGGTGAATAACTACTTTACCTCAAACAACCTAAGAATGCCTAATGCCATGGAATGAAACAGTGCTCACTGAATAGTGAACACTTGCTTTTAGTCTAAACACAATCAATATTTGATACAACTTCAAAAATAGGCTGACAGTAAAGAAAACAAGTAAATCATAATGCAAAAACAAAAAACGATAATCCAAATGTTTTCTTCTCCATCTCACAAAAATGGTTCCCAAATATTGTCTTCCTTCCCATATATCTAAATTCATCTCTTACCTATTTTTCTAAAAGGCGCTTTCTCGAGGTCTGACTCCTTTCTTTTCTTGTCTGTCTCTTTTTCTCTTCTTGTCTGTCTTCAACTAAAGATGGGTGCAGGAGGGACATCAATAGTGATTCCAGCTTGGATTTGACCCCACCCGATAAGACGCCAATGCTTCTCAACACGTCGACTGAGTGCAATCTTTTCACCCCTGCTGGTGCACACAGGAGATGTAAGTTGCAATTTTGCCAAGTCATTCTTCACAGCTATTACTCTGGCTCCTGTTGACATTGATCCTATGTTCAACATTAGCATTTCTGCTTTGGCCAGCTTAGATACCTTTCCCTGTCTCTCGGATCCTTTTGTTCGGACACCAAGAAGCCTTCTAAGCAAGAAAAAGTTTACCTGCAAAATTCGTACGTAAATAAAGATTTCCAAGCACAGAAAGGAAATTGAGTAAATGTAAAGGATTTGGCTATTCAAAAGTGAGAAAGGTGTAAAGTTATCTAAAGCTTTAATGATAAACCATTAATGTAAAGGATTTGGCTATTCAAATTGACGGTAGGCAGGCATATGCATAAAATGATAAACCATTAGGCATAGCCACATACCTCAAGCTCAACAAAAACCTCAGGTAGTGATCCAACTTCTCCGAGAACTTGCCCAACCAACCTGTCAGCGCGAGTCAAAGTAGGATCCATTGTTGTTCCAACACCAATTAGGCCTCCAGGCACAGCAAATTGAAGCTCATTTTGTTCAGCATACAATGAAACTATTCTAGAGTATATAGGTGTGCACTTAATATTTCCACTCTCGTCTTTAACAACTATTCCTGGTCGAACTTCAATGAATTGGTTGACCTTCAAAACACCCTGTAGAGAAGAAATTGTCAGATGTGTTCAAAAAAGAATGTATCAAATATGTTTGATTCAAGACTCAGCTCAGATTTAACAGAATCCATGGGCTCCCTAATTTGAAAATTCATCATAGCAAACAAATAGGTTTTAGGTAAAATCATAATATTAAGTTCATTCCTTTGTTCTGGTTTGAAATAGAATGGCCAATTTTTCAAGATATTTAAGAAAACTACAACAAAATAATTTCCAAAAACAAATTAAGAATGCAACTTGTTTCTCATAGTCCTTGGCATAGTGCTTGGCATCTGAACTATTTTCAAGTCATTTGAAATTCTAGCATAGATTAAACATACTAAATACTGCAATATTCACCAAAAGACTTACCCTCAGAATGCTTCCACCAGCTACGCCTCCTTTTATTTCATCAACCTCAAAACCAGGTTTATTGACATCAAAAGACCGAATTACTATCATATTAGGAGGAGAAATAAAGTTCCTTTCAGGAATTGGGATCTTTTTCACGATATACTCACACACGACATCAATATTATACTTCAATTGGGCTGAAATAGGTACCACAGGTGCACCATCAGCAACCGTTCCCTGGTAAGCCACCAAAAACAAAGAGAGCATCGTGTAAGTTAGCAAAATGCAATTCTCTTGCATAGCAGAAATGTCTTCACAGGAAACTTACTTGTATAAACTTCTGAATTGCTTCATGCTGATTGATAGCCACATTCTCTTGAATTAGGTCAACCTTGTTTTGAAGGATTATCATGTGCTGAAGACGCATAATTTCCACAGCAGCTAAATGCTCAGAGGTTTGTGGTTGTGGGCAGCTTTCATTAGCAGCTATGAGTAGCAAAGCGCCGTCCATGATTGCTGCTCCATTAAGCATTGTAGCCATGAGAATATCATGACCCTACAGAAATTGTATAAGTAAAAGCATATATCATATAGATGTATAAGCATTAAGCAGTGTCAATAAAGGATGCACTATCATGGTATGCAGTGTCAGTCTAGAAATGGTCTAAGATATTGCAACTATTCTTCAAGAGAAAGTATAAGATACTAAGACAACAAAACTAGTCCTATGCGATAACCTTAGATATAACAGATGATATCATGATTTTATAAGAAGCGTTCATATGTTCTAACACACATATATATACACTCAATTCATACATACACTACAGAAATTGTATAAGTAAAAGCAAATATCATATAGATGTATAAGCATTAAGCAGTGTCAATAAAGGATGCACTATCATGGTATGCAGTGTCAGTCTAGAAATGGTCTAAGATATTGCAACTATTCTTCAAGAGAAAGTATAAGATACTAAGACAACAAAACTAGTCCTATGCGATAACCTTAGATATAACAGATGATATCATGATTTTATAAGAAGCGTTCATATGTTCTAACACACATATATATACACTCAATTCATACATACACTACAGAAATTGTATAAGTAAAAGCAAATATCATATAGATGTATAAGCATTAAGCAGTGTCAATAAAGGATGCACTATCATGGTATGCAGTGTCAGTCTAGAAATGGTCTAAGATATTGCAACTATTCTTCAAGAGAAAGTATAAGATACTAAGACAACAAAACTAGTCCTATGCGATAACCTTAGATATAACAGATGATATCATGATTTTATAAGAAGCGTTCATATGTTCTAACACACATATATATACACTCAATTCATACATACACTACAGAAATTGTATAAGTAAAAGCAAATATCATATAGATGTATAAGCATTAAGCAGTGTCAATAAAGGATGCACTATCATGGTATGCAGTGTCAGTCTAGAAATGGTCTAAGATATTGCAACTATTCTTCAAGAGAAAGTATAAGATACTAAGACAACAAAACTAGTCCTATGCGATAACCTTAGATATAACAGATGATATCATGATTTTATAAGAAGCGTTCATATGTTCTAACACACATATATATACACTCAATTCATACATACACTACAGAAATTGTATAAGTAAAAGCAAATATCATATAGATGTATAAGCATTAAGCAGTGTCAATAAAGGATGCACTATCATGGTATGCAGTGTCAGTCTAGAAATGGTCTAAGATATTGCAACTATTCTTCAAGAGAAAGTATAAGATACTAAGACAACAAAACTAGTCCTATGCGATAACCTTAGATATAACAGATGATATCATGATTTTATAAGAAGCGTTCATATGTTCTAACACACATATATATACACTCAATTCATACATACACTACAATACACATCTCATCTTGGGATTAAAATAATTGGGAAACAATATAATGCTATGAGAAAAGAAAACTCAAAATGGAGGAAAAAAAGTAATATCAAATATGCACATTAATGAAAGTAATCCTACATTAAGTTATAAATCTGATGAAACTTACCATAAAACATAAAACATCCCTATACAAATGAAAGTTTAGGGCTTTACCGGGCAATCGACAAAAGAAACATGTCTCAACAATTTCATCCTGCAGTTTTCAAACCCTGGCACATCACACATAGGATTATCTTCTTTTCCACTTCCATAAGCCCTGTAGCAAAAAAAAATTATCACATCACCAATTGTTGAAATAACCTGATAATATAACAGCAAACGGAAAATAAAAACCCACTTGTAGGACATAGGCCTTGGACATCGTTCATCTTCACACTTATATATTTTTGCGTTTGCATAGCCAAGCTTGATTGTAATGTTACGCTCCAACTCATTTTTAAAACGCACAGTCTGCACGACATTCATGGGAAACCAGGAGATCAACAGCATTAATATAAAAAGCTAGAGGGAAATGCACAAAGAATACAATGTTGTGTTATGGATTTGATATGTAAGTCCTTTTTTAAAACTTTAGATGCAAAAACAGAGGAAAGCAATTCAATTGATCCAAAGGTAGGAGAAGATAACACTTTTTTTAGATTGCATATACCAATCAAATTAATCGACGGATACAACTTATCTAGACAAAATAAAACCCAGATATTGAAATCAACAAACTTTATAAATGTGGTAGTAATTTAGATTTCACAAGCTTCATAACTCACTTGCTACTTGGATTAAATGAAACATGGCATTTTGAGTTACATCAAAGAGTAAACACTTCCTTTCTGATTGAAAAATATCACCTACATCCGAGTAGGCTATTGACAAAAAATCATTCCGAAACACCATGTACCAAGAATAACATATATACAGTATAAACATCACCATCCTCATCCCTATGCCAAAACCAAAGTAGAGGAGAACATTTAGACAAAGGAATACCTGAACACCCGATATTGCTTTCACAACTGTTGATTTGCCATGTGCCACATGACCTATGGTGCCTGCCAGGATTTAATTTACTATTCATCAATCATCTAACAATAACACTCATCAATGGAAAAGAAGCTTACACGAATTTCTAATGAGAAATTTGTTCATGTTCTAATGTGGCTGTAACAATTTCAAAAACTGAACACAAAAATAAGGGAGAAAATATTACCAATATTAATAGTAGCCTGCCGAGATATGACTTCAGGAGAAAGTGGATGCAATTTTGTCACATCCAATGTACTCAAGTCTTGTTCCATCAAACCCTTCCGTGACATTTTGGCTGCTTCAATGGAAACTTAAATTGCGTGATGGGATGAATTTATGACCTGACACTGTCTGATGCTAAACTATTTGCATGTATTTATCAAGTGACAAGAAAAACACATCAGAGTCTGCATTTGCCTTTTCATAAAATCAGTTTATTTATATATGGCACATGCCTAATTCTTTTACATTTTATTCTACCATGAGCAATTATCTTGTATAGGATTTATAATTAATACAGAAGTGCAGTTTCATTATTTTACAAATGAAAGAGAAATACTTCCATGATGCCCAACAAAAGACATTGATTGCTGGTCATTTGGTCTGCGTCTTTTTCTATGATTTTCTTAAATGAAGAAAATTTTACAGATACCGCTTCAGATTCTTGAGACTTATAAGTTACAAATAGATCCCTCGACTTCCCTTTGACAGTGAAACCCTACAACTGTAGTAACTTTGTGCAGTGCACAAAGCATAGGTACCCCTGTTTCTAAAGAAAATGTTCTTGAGCAGGAACAAAAATTTACAGATTGTTTGTTGATGGGAAAAGTTGGATTTATTACACTATTTGTTCCTAATTGTAAGACCATTTTCTGCTTTTTCGTCCCTTAATATAAGACTCTTTTCAAAACTCCACATGCATTAATGATTGATGTCTTTACAAAATACCCCAATTAAATTTACCAATGAGAAATGAAAAGTATTTTACTCTCCTAGGGTAACAATAATTTGCAGGGGTAAGCATGTAAAGTAACACAAATTTTTGACAAATAAATTACTAAAACTACTTTCCTTAATACATGTACACTTTGTTGGAGGGTCTTGTAATATGGGGCGGAGGGACTAATTAAATAAAATTAATCTCTCAAATTTGAGGAGAATCAATGAGTTTCTCACTTTCAAAATTTTAATTTCCAAGAAGAATTAATGTATTGAGCATCACCGAAAGAGAAGAAGTCCACTCGGTATTCAGCTACTCTAATCCAGTTCTATTATATTAATTACCAATTTGGTTTCACCGAAAGAAAAAGATCTCAATGTATTTTAAATCTCAACCATTCCAACTCCTATTAGGTTATCGAAATTGGAACTAAATTGGGCATTGAACAATGCACATTCTTCCAAAATCGTAATAATCAATGAACCCGAGTTGAAAAAATTAGGGTTATTTAGCAACTAGTTCAGAAAAACAAAATCATCGATTTGAAACGAATGGGATAGTGTCTTTGTAAAGTAATCAAAATCAAAATCAAAATAGTCTCCCACACTAAACCCTAATTAGCTAATATAAATCCCGCAAGCGAGAATTTCCAAATCCTAACTGAAATTCGAATCTTGCGCATGTTGAAGAAAAAATAAATCACCGAAAAAATGAAAGAAGTGAATAAACTAGTCAAGAATTCAAAGAGTAAAATAGCATGAGAATTGGAAAGAAGTGGGGACATGAAGATAATGTTAAAGAAAGAGAGAGATAAAACCTGAGAGAAGAAGAAAAGTGCGTGCGGAGGTGTAAGCAGCTGGTGCCAGGCGATGGTGGTAGTGATAAGCGGAGAGTGTTGAATTGTGCCTGCAGGTCCGAGTGCTTCTAATATTATAAAATTTAGAATTAAATATGTTTTTAGTCTTGTAAATATCCTAAAATTTGATTTTGAGCTGTGGCATAGGATCACTAATAATCCAAATTTGGGCATAATATTTGTGTTTTTAGACTCATGATTTACCTTGTTACGATTTTTCTTTGGGTGACCAATAGTTCTCATCATGACTAAAGGGTTGATTAATTCAGTTTCATCTGTTAGTCATAGTTTTGGATAATTTATTGGCTGAATGATATGAAGGGGGACTAAAATCCTAAAAATAAAAAATAAAAGACTACAAAAACCGGTTTTTAAAATGGAGGGATCGAAATAAAAAAATAAATAATAGGAGGACCAAAGTTACAATTAAGCCAATATACTTTTAGTCTCTATAAATATCCTAAAATCTAGTTTTTAGTCGTGGCTCCGGGTCGGGTGATATTCAAAGTTATCAAGTGCTTTTATAAAATTTAGGATTAAATATGTTTTTAATTCTTATAAATATTCCAAAATCTAATTTTAGTCTCTAGAATGTTTTTGTTTAAAGAATCGTCGTCATAAAGTTTTTCGTCTCTATTTTTCGTCTCTGTCGTCTATCCCATTTAACGGAAACCTACGTAGACGTTGATTTGACAATTTTTTTAAATTTTGAAAATAGATAATGCTGAATAATTAGATGTCGTGTGTTTATTATCAATTGGGCAACTTAAAAGACCCATATATTCACTTAGAGTAAAATTAGGATTTCATTTAACACACAAAGGGGATTTTTGTTCTTGTTGAAAACCCTAACGAAGTCAATCGCTTTCTTATTCAAGTGTTAGGTTTGAGCATAAGGTTCGTTCCAAGCTCTTTTCCTTTCTTCTTCAATCGAATGTTTTCAGTTGGTTCAACATAGACTTTGTAAAACATTGTGTATTTTCATTTTGGTTGCAGAATTTTGTTTCCATTATTATCGTGTTTGCTTTGTGGTCCTAAAATCATCTTGAAAGGTGCATGCTTGTGGTCACTCGACGTTAAATCTGAGGTAATTCCATATGTTTAACTTTAGATTATATTTTATTGAAGTTTGGTATAAGATTTGTATTTTACTTGCAATGTATTTAGTTTTGTGGTTGACTTGGCTAATCAAACATGTTCATGTACTTTTGGGATTTCATTGGAAATCCATGTAGACATGCAATTTCAGCAATCCATAAGAAAGTAGATGATTCCATTAATTATGTCCATAAATACTACCACAAGTCAACTTATGTCAAGTGTTATGAAGAAGGTATCACTCCTTTGAATGACTAAAATAAGTGGCCCAAAATCAATGATCCTGTCATTTTCCCTCCCATGTTCAAAAGAGACTCAGGGAGGCCAAAAAAACTTAAAAGAAGGGAACCTCATGAATCAAATGCAACTTAGTGACAAAGAACAAATACTACTCATAAATGCCAGAAATGTTTGGAATATGGTCACAACACTAGAACATGTAAAAAGAATAAACAAATTGTTCTACACAAGAACAAAAATATCACAACAAATAAACTACTTGTAACATATTTAACCCTAAAATTTATAATAATTTTTAGTCAAATAAAATCAATGATTTATTAATATAATAAAATAACTTATAATTAAAAAAATATAAAATATTGTATTTGTTAAAATGTGTTCCCAAAGGCTAAGGCCATGATCAAACTCAATACCTTTTGATTAAAAAGAAAGAAATCTCCTATCATCTCTTCAAATTCAAGTGCTTTTGGATTATTTTAAAATTATTTTGGTAGCATATACATTGATATTTTTTTATTGAACAACACTATAAAATTATTTATATAGTATGTAAGTGATATATTGTATAATATAGAGGAAGAATTATCAAGTAAGAAAAATATTTTTACTTATTTATTTTCCTAGCAAAATACTCGTGTGTCTGTACGAATAAATATATTTGATACAATATAAAATGCATTTGGATATGTATGTAAATTTGAAATGAGTTAATTAATTATAAAATGAATTATGATCATATAAACTCAATTGTATGAAATATGTTATATTGATAATGAGTCATGAGATGAAAAATTAGTTGCTTACATGCTGTTGGGGATTATCTAATTTGATATAGTATAAAATATATATGAGTACACATGTAAATTAAAAATAATTTATTTAATTATAAAATGAATAATGATCATACAAACTCAATTAATGTTAATTAAAAATAAAATAGGTATTATGTTGATAGTGACTCGTGAGACGGAAAGTTAGTTGTTTGCATATTATGGAGTATTATCTAATTTGATACGGTATAAAATGTATTAAATCATACATATAAATTTGAACTAAGTTATTTAATCGTAAAATGAACTATAATCATATAAACTCAATTGTATTAAATAACCGTACAAAAATATATAATAAAAAAAAAGTTACTCGTGAGATGGAGAAAGAAAAACAAAATTTGACATTTGAAACTAAATATTTTATCTTTCAAAAAAAGACAATTGTTGATTAAAATAAAATATATATTATCTTGATAGTGACTCGTGGTATAGAAAGTTATTTGTCAACACTGTTATTGAGTATTATCCAAATTATTACGGTATAAAATGTATTTAGATATACATGTAAACTTGAAATGAGTTACTTAATTGTAAAATGAACAATGATGATATAAATTCAATTAATGTTGATTAAAAATAAAATAGATATTATATTAATAGTGATTCGTGAGATGGAAAGTTAATTATCTACATGATTATTTAATATTATCCAATTTAATATGATATAAAATGTATTTAGATTTACATATAAATTTGAAATGGGTTAGTTAGTTAGTTATAAAACAAACAATGATCATATATATATAAACACAATTGTATTAAATTATCAACTAAAAAAGAAAAAAGGATTGGTGAGATAGAGAATAAAACAAAATGATATTTGAAAATAAAGATTTTGTCTTTTAAATAAAGATGATTATTGATTAAAAATAAAATATATATATATATTATGTTGATCGTAATTTGTAAAATGAAAAATTAATTATCTGCATGGATATTGAGTGTTATCAATTTTAATAAAATAATACATTAATTTTATAATTATGAATTATTTTTTAATAAATATGAACTATGTCTTAAGAACAATCAAATAACTGGTTTTTTTTGTTGAGACTAAATTTTGAGTTTTCAATATATAATATTATCGTATGTTTCTCTTCATTCCATTATAAAGGGGTTTAATGTTTTTTTGTTATGCTTAGAAAAAAATTAAAAGAGAAAGAGAAAATGGAGAGAGAAAAAATAAAATAAAAGTGAAGAAGTGTGTCAAAAAGAAATGTGATAAAATTTTGAAATTTGAAAAATAATTTTGCCACTCGTAAAGTTGTGGTTGATTTAGAAAGAGAATAATTGATTAATTAGATAATTACTAAATAGTCTTTAATATAGTGTAAATACTAACATCAAAAGACAATTTAAGGCAATTTACTAGTATGTTTTATTATTTGATATAATAGTTGATAGTAAAAGAAAGAGTTCTAATTATCTTAAATTGGGCATAACATAAGTGAAATTTGTTTAAACATTGTTTCACTAATAATAGAAATTTGAGTTCTCGTTAATAATTCTTTGAAATTTATTAATCATTTTATGATTAATGTAATAAAAGTATGAAAGGTTATATATATATATATATATATATATATATATATATATATATATATATATATATATATATATATATATATATATATATATATATATATATATATATATATATATATATATATATATATATATATATATATATATATATATATATATATATATATATATATATATATATATATATATATATATATATATATATATATATATAATTTGTTGAAAACTAATAATGCTTTTGTTTATGACCATCCACGAAGCCAAATAAATGAAGGTCTAATTGTCAAGTTGGGATGATTCACCCATCGTATGCTAACATATGATTCTCATCATGATTCACTTTTTTTAACTCAATAATTGACTTGAACATTGGAATGTTAATCTTGCAGACACTATCGCACCAGAGATCCATACCACTGCGTTGAGAATACACCTCATTAATCCATCGACAATTTTGTTTCCTAAACGAAACAATGGTGTCGTCTACGGGAAATTATGGCACTTACAATAGTAATTGCATCCAAGAAGTTGTGGTGGTACCTCCTAGCGTATTAGAATTACACCAAAACTATGAAGAATTCAGAATCAATTTTGATGAACAAGATTCAATTTATCGATCGAATTTGTTTCTTGTTCTTCACTCAAGTGAATCAATCAATCTTGATTGTAAGATGATTCTACTGCACAATCAATAATGGAGAAGAAGAAAAAAGATGAATTGGGGAAGAAATAGAAATTAGGGTTTGAACTAAGAAGGAAGAATAAGAGAATTTCTGCAGAGTTTCTCTTTGCTCTCAAACTGAGATTTTTATTCTTTGAAACTGCAAGTGAATCACTTCTTTATAACAATAGGATAACTTCAGGTTGAGTTTGTTTTCTTCCTAAGCAAAATCCAAATAACCTAATTCTGCTAAAACAAACAATGTAAGCCTGAGTCAAAATTCATGTCAGGGTACACTACTTTGACGTTTCGACAACATTAGGTATTTTGAAAAAAAACATACTTTGATACCATGAATTACATTCTCAATGCACCACCTAATTCATTGTGTAAAAGCTATTAAAATTCTGGCTGCACATACTCAATGTCACGTTCAATGTTATGACACCGTATCTGACTTACTATATGACAGTAAATACAAAAGCAATAAAGAACACAGTCAATTGTTTACCCAGTTCAGTGTGCAACAACACCTACTCTGGGGGCTACCAAGCCAGAGAGGAAATCCACTATAAGAGATGTTAATTCAGGAATAAACCAACCAATTTATCTCCTTCACTTAAGACCTACCCAATGCAATTCCAATCTAAGTACAACTTAAACCTGAGTTCCTACTCACTCCCCCTCAATCACAGCAGTGATACATAAACCAATTTGACTTAAGAATTGATGAAGACACTCTTCAAAAACAAACACTTGATTAAGCTTCACAGCTTTTTAATCAAGCAACACAA